ATATTTGGACAAAATTACATATTAAAAAACCTAGAATTACTATTTTAGTTATTTTGTTGTGATTGTATAATATTATTCTTTGGTACTTAAAACTTCTAAAGTGTACTATTATATATCTATGATAGTATCACGGTTTGTTGTTGATGTATAACGCTTATAAGTACCTAATGGATGTTGTGATATGATTAATTTGGAATTTATTATAGGTCAATTTTATTTTAATATAAATTATTTTCCTTAATTTGCCTACCTTTGATAGTATTAGTCAACTTATGTGTTCTGCTTAATGTCTTGATTAGCTACAGTTGATTTGTTTCTGTGAAACAGTTTATTATAATTTGCAATTTATTACCACATACTAATGTAATGTGTTCATCTTTGTTATTTTTAACGGCAAGGAAACTTACAAGTAATTTAGTAATTTAATGTGTATGGCATTTAATTAACAAATTAAATAATTTATTTAAACCAACAGATCAGAGATATGCGTTCAAGAGCAGGAAGAGAAAACACAACAAGAATTATAAGGGAAAATGTTCAGCAACTCAATATAGATCATGACATTTTGGAATTCTTAAGGAGAACGGGCCACTTCAATGATGGTTATGTTTTTGGGAAAATTGGACCATATCCTAAAATTTTTTTTTTTGTATTAAAATGCCTCAAGTCCACTACAGACAAATAATAGTCACTATGTATTAAATCAACAAGCTTCTATTGTTAAATTAATAAAAAATTATAATCTAAATATTATACTTATTATTCAAACTTATTCTTACATATAGATTCCTTGGATGTTAGACAACACTGGTGTTTAACTGTTATTTAAAATTATACACTAGTGTTGTCTTAATTTTAAATAACAGTTAAACAGATTTTAAGAATTTGAGATAGCAATTATGTATGTATAATAATGTTACAAAAAAATTTGGTATGCACAATTGTTGAGTTTAGGATTATGTTTGTAGATCGATCTAGACACAAATGATTACACTGTTTTTACTTTTTAGTAATAACTAATAAGTAATATTATAATGTAGTGTCTACAGTATGCTAAAAGTCGGGTTTATATACAAGTTACCAATTGACATTGTTACATATATATGGCGTGATTAACAATTTGCTAATAGCAACAATGTTACTTTTTATACAATATAAAATTATTCTCAACAAGAATACAACTGATTCAGGTACTAGGTTCTATACTACTATGCAGTATGCATTCTACTATGTAGAAGTAGAAAACATCTTATGTATCTTATGTGGATTTTCTACAATAGGTGCACTTTTTAATGTTGACAACATTGCTAGAAAAAATATTGACAATAATAATAAAGTATTGGACATATTTTTGGATGTTCAGAGAGCTTTTCATTGTGTTGTTCATAAACTATTATTAATAAATAAGAACATGCAGGTATTCGTGGTTTAATTCCCATTAACTTATACACTGAAATTCTAAGTTTTGCTGATGTTACTTCGATTCTATTATCTGAACAAACAATAGATACTTTATACTATGTTATATTACTATACTTTTTATTTTAATATATACTATTACTTATGCTATTGTATGTAAATTGTAACTGATAAGAACCAATCCCCCAGGTATACTTATCTATGCCCCCAGGCTAGTTACATAGACTATAGTAATAATAGAGACAATACTAGAAAGTTTGATCTGCTTTATAACAACTTATAAGGAGCCTTATATATTACATTTTCAAGCTTTTTGAAGGGATAATGTTTTATCGATATTCATATAAAACAAAATTCAAACGCCTATAAATGGTTCAAGAAGTATAAAAATATTTTTTTGAATTAGCTATATCAAACCATAATAATATACCTAATCGTTTCGTCGAAATCTGGATTTGCGTCAAAATGCTGTTGAAAGTGAACCATTTTTAAGGGGTTGGATTTAGGCAATATTTTTTTTCGTGATTGATGTGTGTCTGCGTGTGTAGTGACTGATCATTAGTGTGCGAGTGTTCTCCGAACGCTTTATGTAATTAAAAATAAACTACGGCTAAGATTCTTGGAAATTCGTAAAGTCCATACACACAAGTCAATTTATTTTGCGATCAAAACAATGTCAACATGTAAGTCCCAATAAGCAGAAGAAAAATTTTCCTCAGTATCAAAATCCCCATTTTAATTTTGAAAACATTTGAATTCCTTATTCTATTTTCTAGGTCATGTAGGAAATGGATTTTCGATTTTTTTTATTGTGTCATTACTATTTAATTAGTTAGGTACCAAAAAAATAATTTTTTTTTTATTTTTCAAAGTACACATTTACTTTAGTCTTTATAGTGTTACTTTAAAAAAACTAATCAAAAATCCATTTCGTACGTAACCTAGAAAATAAAATAAGTAATTAAAATATTTTTTCAAAATTAAATTTGGACATCAGGAAGTATATTTTTATTCCTCCGCTTATTGATCTAAATGCAAAAATAATGACGAAAAAACGACCAGCTTTTAAGAGTCTTAATTTTTCCTGGCACTGTTGAAAGCTACTGGCAATTTTTTACTTTTGACCACTAAGTACCAACTAGATTCACTTTCCTACCAGAAAAAAATACCAAGGATGAAAATCGTAGCATTTGTATTGCGCCTAAAAGCAACGATAGACTCAAATATTAAAAAAAATCACAACATTTTTTAGACCATAGTGTGTATAAACATAATTATATACTTTTTATTAATTCGAAAGTTAATTTCGTCATAATTTGAACTCAAAAATGTAAATTTAAAAAAAACAGTGTCAATATTTTTTTTTAGATTTTTTTGATTTCAAGTTACAATAATAATTATTAATAACAACTTATGACATCGTATTACATTTTCAAACATTAGTTATAATTTATAATATTTTTCACCACTAAATTAATTTTCAAATATTCGTAATTGTTCAATTATTATAACTATAATGGTTGAACATTTAATTCGAAGCTTCTCATAAATGATTCATACTGCAAACAAAAAATCTAAAAATCTAATAATTATCAACACAGAATAACGAAGAATAACGAATTTAATTATTCTGTTATGATTTTAAAATATTACCTTGTACTTGATGCTTTTAAAGTAATATGTAATTTTAATATTTTATATAATATATATATAATATTCTAATACTATAATTATTAACTATGTCTTTTAGTCTGTGTCCAATAAACGGTGCTCCATTAAATACACATAAAAATCTTTCAATCGCATGACACAAACGATCGACGGCTGATAGGTAACTAACATACTAATTAAATACCCAAATACTTAACAAAGAAATAATAACGTTTTTTTATAAGCTGTTCGGATTGTAGTTTGTTTCAGTGGCAAGGAGGGTGACGTGAGGTCAGACCCCCTTCAATGGGCTTTGGAGTTTATAGCAGTCCATGTTGTGTTTGATGTGAATTTTGAATCAATTCAAATTATATTCATTGCTTATTACTGTCAAATATTTTATTACGCGGACGTTTCGGCGATATGTCAATTCGACGATGTCCGTTTCGGCTCGTGACCGTTTCGGCGAAACGGCAATTTACTTATCTGTAACATTGTCTCACGCTTACCGTATGGCGTGTGGTATAGAATTATAGAAAATGTTATCTTTATTACTATAAAAGTAATAAGTTATTGTCATTATTACTACAGGATAAGGTGGTCACGATAGTCGATATGGATAATCTGATAATTTTATAATAATTTAGTTAGTCTGCGGAAAGTGAAGTAGGTACACCTACCTGTACGTAGTCAAATAATTTGTGTAGGTATTATTTTTTTTATCATTCGTAAAAGTTAAGTAATGTCAAAAGTAAAATCAAAAAGAAACAAAAACGTGATCCCCGTGGATGGTTTTAAGTTCGTATTTTATAAGCTTAGTGCGGACGAAACTAAACGGTTTTGGCGATGTCGTCGTAAAGATTTGTCTTGTCCGGCTCGAATACATACCGGTATACATGATTTTAAAGTCTTAAAATTGTCTGCTAAAAAACATTGTCATGATTCTGAAGCGGCTAGAATAGAAGCGGACACAGCTATAACGAGTATGCGTCAACGAGCTATTTTAACAATGGAACCTATACGTCTTGTGTAATTAATGAATGTGTTAACGGGTTATCAGATGCGGCAAAGGTACACACATTGCATTTTATTTTTCTATTATTATAATATTTACACGGCCTATTATACTGTCCCTATCTGGTCCATATAGTATAACTAATAAATAATTTTAATTTTAATTTATAGGGCGTTTTACAATCTTCCGAAGCTCTAAAACGACAAGTACGGCGTATAAGAAATAATGAAATAGCAGCTCTATGTGATCCATCAGATTTATTGTCTTTACAGATACCCGATGGTATCAAAATTATTCACCATCAATCGGAGTTAATGAACATTTTTTATTGGCTGATAGTGGGCCTAGCAATGAAAGAATATTAATATTTGGTCGACCACTTAGTCTCAAGTTATTAAAAGATTCGAAAATATGGTACATGGATGGAACTTTCAAAGTGGCACCTACTTTATTTTGCCAAGTTTATGTTATATTAGCTGAATTTTTAGGGGGAGTGCATCCTGCAGTTTATGCATTGCTACCTAACAAAAAGGAACAAACATAATATGTAAAATTATTTATGATTTAGAATTACTTATTATATTATATAAAACGTTTTTACATTATATTACATTTTTTTTTACTATTAATTTTCGCCAGGATTTACCCAGGATTTTTTTATGGGGGGGGGGGTCCAAAATTTGTATTTTATATCTGTATTGTGTTCTCTAATTATAATTATAGTTTAATTCATTACCAACATATTACTGTTAATAACTATAATATAGTTACAATAGTCAATAGTTATACACACACTCACGACTCACAGAACATATACAGAAAGGTTTATAACAATAGGTAGGTACTATAATTTTAAATCAATTTTTATTTGGTAATAAAATGTTATAAAAATTACATTATTTAACTTATAATTATTTTAAAATTTTAATCTCCTGTTTTTTTTTACAAGTTCCTCAATTATATCATCTGGTGTTAAGATTTCATTTCGATGAATATTAAGCATTGCAAGTCCATTTAGTCTGTCTTCCGATACAGTATTTCTTAATGAAGAGAAACTTCTCTCAGAAGTACATGTCGTGACTGGTAATATACATAATATTTTTATTAACTTGTATATATTTGGGAACAAGTCTTCATCACAAAATTGTAGAAATTGTATTACAGTTTTTGGCTTTTGATCTTCTTTAGTTCTTTTTAAGACATTTTTCCACATCTTAATTTCTGCTATTACAATATCAGGTTCACTTAAATTATCCGAATCTTTATAAAAATCTATCAATTGTAAAATGTCGTTATTATTATTGTCCAATTCATTTTGAAATAACATTTTAAAACCTTTTAAAACCAATTTCGTTGGTATAAATTAAACAGGGTTTATACATTATAATTTATTATAATCTATAACCTTTGTATACTGAAGATAATGGGAAATATTAAAATACACTGTAAACCTACTCTTATTATACGATTTACTATTAAACAATTGAGTAAATGTAGATATCTCAATGGGGGGGGGGACCCGACCCCCCCCCCCCCTTGGGTACGCCCCTGATTTTCGCCGAAATTGTCGCTGGCCGAAACGGACATAGTCGAACTGTCGGCGCCGAATCGTCCTAGATCCCTATAAAATGTATATAATATGCTTTATGATATCTGAATGTCTTTATGTTTATAATTTATTAGAGTTTATCAAAATAGATCATTTGTATAGTGGACTTTTATAGTTTTTTTAAATATTATAAAAAGGACATAATTCGTAATAATATAGGTGTATAATTGTTTTGATTGGTTCTATAGAAAAAAGTTGCGGATCCAAATACAGACGAATAAAAAATAAATATATTCCATTACTTAATAGGAAAAAAATATAACTCCAGAAAAATGTCAATAATAAATTGATAAAATATAATTTGAATAAATCGTTTTCTAATTTATTTCTTTTTCATAATATAAATGAAATAAAATATATTATCCTATTAATATAATAAATGCGAAAGTCTGTGACTTTGTTACTCTTTCACGTAAAAACTACTGAATGGATTTTAATGAAACTTTACAATAATATAGCTTATACATCAGAATAAGACATAGGCTACAAATCATCACCCTAGGTCCAATCAGGGGATGTGCTCAAACGGGGATTTAGAGATTTACGGTGGAAATTTTTGTTTATAAATGGTTGCCATGGGTTTTAAAACTAATAAACTATTATTGGTTGCCGTGAAATAAGTGTATTCATTCAATGCATTTAATTTTTCTGTACGCTGTGTAATGTATCACAATTACGTAAATATTATACTCACATATAAGTTACGTACATGGTACATAAAACGATCACGACGTATTCGTGGACGAGTAGGAAATATTGGTCGACAGACTTGGCATTCACAATATTAGTCCAGCCGTTTATTTAGAGTTCAGTGACCTACTTGGTATAAATTTGATACTTTAGAGTTAAATTATAAAGTTACTTACTAACAGCACGGGGTCCGTAGGTAGTCTACCCCAGGTAAATTTCCTATCTGATAATATTATACTGCTGCGAATCAGAATTTTTATTCCAGGCAACAAAAAAGTTAAGATAAATTTTGAACACCATACCCCGAATATTAAATAAAGAATTGAACAAAGTTTGAGTCATATAGAGTTGGTGCATTTAACGGGAAACGAAGTGCACGGGATCATTGAGTAATTTTATAAAACAATTTGTAAAAGAAAAAGCTTAAAATTGTCTTATTTTTAAATACGTATTATTAATATACTTTAGACGTATCCGTCTTTTTATATTTCAAACTGACGTGGCCCAATGATTAAGATTAACAATCGTTCGATTAATAAGAATAGAGAAATAATATTATGTATAAATGTGACATAACAGTAGGTAGTTGGACAAAATCAACAGTTGATAAGTATCCAGCGCGACGGTAGTGGCGCGAAGCTAAGTAAAAAAAAATAACTAACGTATAATAACAGGACACCGAGTTTTAACATAGAAAAATCGTCCCAATTTATGTAAATTCTTTGCCAAGCTCTACAGGGCTGAACATATAAAGTCGTATGAGGTATCAATCGATCATAAATACTGTGCAGATGGGAACTGAGGAATTCGCTAGCAGATTGGTTAGGTAGTTTATAAGTTATAAGCAAAAATGTTCAAGTTGGAAATGAGTTGGAATGGATAAGCGGTGGGTCGGGGAACGAAAATATCGTAAATATCCCCCGACCCGCCGCTTTTCCATTCCCACAACTCTCATCGCGGCGGCAGCGACGATGTACCACGACGACGACGATGCACGGGCGATTGCCACGGTGCGGTGTTGACAACTGACAATATTGCAAAAACAAACCATTTCGTGACTTGCACTCGATTGGTCGCGACGTGTTTATACTTTTATTATTATTTCCTTCTGGTTTCTACTATTACTAATAATTGTGTTGTTTGAAATTGTGTGTTGATAACGTGCATACGGCATAAAGTTTTACGTGTACTAAGAGAGATTTGGCGTTGGCCGTTTCGGCATTTTTATTATTTCTTTCTCACTATTATAATAATAACAATTATTATTATTATTTGTATACTCTGCAAGTGCGTGTGTTATCAAACCATTTGCATAACGTGGCTCCGGAATGATTTGGGTTTAGCTGTTTCGGCAACCTATCAATTAATCTTATAAAATAGTGTTTACTGGGGCTGAGTGGCCGACCAATATAGTTCTTACTATTATTATAATAATACTAGTATACTATTAAAATTGTGTGTTGATAAACGATAAACCACGTTGTAGTAAGAGAGATTTGGCTTTGATCGTTTCGGCATTTTTATTATTTATATAGTAGTATATACCTATATAGTAGTATAATATTATTTGTATATTATAGTTTTAGAAAAAAAAACTAAAATAGAAAAAATGATATAACAACAGGAGGCCAACGATGCATAATATGCTATTATGGATTATTATTATTATATACAGTCAAATTAAACTTATTTCATAAAAAAAATAGCTGATATCACACAAAAAACACTTCGTTATAACTACTTGTAAAAAAAAGCTAAGTTAAAAAAAAAATGTAATAATGATTAAATCTTTAAAAGACGTGATATAATATGGAAATTAAGTAAAATAAAATTTTATAATATTACATATTTACATATACCTATGATGACAAATAACATAAATTGTAATGTTAAATACTTAGTCAACATATCATGTTTAACTATTTAGCAGGACGTAGAAGTATACTTAAATACATACAATTAAGTAATCACTACAGTATTTACAGTAATTAATAATGTATCATCAATATGTTGACTAAGTATTTAACATTACAATTTATGTTATTTGTCATCATAGGTATTTGTAATATTATAAAATGTTATTTTACTTAATTTCCATATTATATCACGTCTTTTAAAGATTTAATCATTATTACATTTTTTTTTTAACTTAGCTTTTTTTTTACACGGAGTTATAACGAAGTGTTTTTGGTGTGATAAACCGTACATTACACAAACCAACAATATTATTGTTCAGTTTTGTTATAATTATTATTGACCTGCTGCCGCCGCGTCGTCAGTAGAGTGGCTACAACTGATGCCGCGAGCCGCCGAACCACCGCCGCCGCCGAAACTGAAGAAAAGCATCGATTAGACATGAGTTCCTGGTACTCCGACTATTCATTTTTCGATAGTTGGTATGTTTTAGTAGCGTTCAACCGCACAGATGATCAACCTGATGTTGGAGTTTATGTTGCTTGGGTTGATCGGGATAGTAAAAACGCTACTACGGCATACGAACTAAATCGAAAAATGTTGAGTCGGAGTACCAGGAACTACCATGGAATAAAAATTGTCTGTTTTGGCTAAAATAACTGTATATTATGGTATTTCGTCTGGAACGTTTTTACAAGGCTAGCCTCGTCGTGTCATATAAAACTTAATTTCAATAATATATTGTTGGTCTGTGGTTGGTCTATGGTTGATCGGGTTGTTAAAACGTACGAACTAAATCTAAAAACAAGGTGCCAGAGCCCCAGAAGTATCAGGGGCTCATGGTCTAATCGTTACTTTTCTTCAGTCTCGGCGGCGGCGGCTCGGCGGCTGTTGCAGCGACTCGCGGGCCGCGGCATCATTTGTAGCTACTCCTCGCTCAACGGCCATCACAGGTATATATTATCTAGGATTTTAGATTCTGAGTGGAACGATGAATGTACTGATTTTACATGATGTGTGTTTTTTAATTTTTTAATTTTTAATTTTTTTTGTGTCTGTGTACACGATAAGTAGTCGAAATAATGCTTCGATTTTCAACTTCAGTATCTTGTTCGATTGGAAAGTGAATATCGTTGGTGCACTGGGAAGGTCAAAATTGAAATTTCCCAGTAGTTTTCAAAAGCGCCGGGAAAAACAAAAGAAAAATTAAGGAAAAACGGGAATATTTACGCAAAATCGATTTTTCAGAAAATTGAATTTGGTTTTTGGTGTAACTTTAAAACAAATGACCGTAGATACATGAAATTTTCAGTGGTTGTTTATATTTGCATTTTCTATACACGATACATTTTCAAAATATTTTGATTTATTTTGAACCGTTAAGGGACATTTTCAGTTTCCAATTTTATTAGTTTTAGATTCTGAGCGGAGCAAGGAAGCTAGTGGTTTTACAATGGTATTTATTTTTTATTTTTTTTTTATATCCTGTATACAATAGTACCTTATCTTTTAGAAAATTGGACTAAGATGGTACTTAGGGAAGTCATTTTTCGATTTTCTCAATAGTTATTTAATGCCACGGGAAAGAGTACTGAAAAATTACGAAAAAACCGCTTAAAATGGGATTTTAATTTCTAACAATTTGTTTATCACCGTAGCAACGAATAAAAAAATAATAATTAAATAAATAAAATAATTAATTGTAACCTACTGTACAGCTGAGCGACATCCACTTACCTGCCTTTTTTTTTTTATAAATATCAATCAAAATGTATTTTTTGAGTAAAAATACTTGAAAATTTAATACAAGGCTCCTACTATATTGTTTCAAAGACAGATGAAAATTATTAAAAATCGTTGATCACAGTTTTTTTTTTTAAGCATTTAAAGTTCAAAAAATGACAAAATATGGAAAAATCACGAAAATTAGCAAATTATTTTGAGTTAAGAATTCGTAAAATTTTTGTTTTTAAATCTAAGATTTGAATATGTAATACAAGATTCCTTATAAGATTATCTACCTTTATCAAAAAAAAAATTCTATAATTAAGTCAAATTAAATTTTTATGAGCGTTTGAAATTCAAATTTTTACAACTTGGATATTCACTCGATT